TTGTAGTCTCTGGCCCCCTAGACTGTACTCCGTCTGCGGTCTTCTTTGCCCTTCCCCAATCTTCATGACTTTGCACTTGGTGGGATTGAACTCCAGGAGCCAATTGCTGGACCAGGTCTGCAGCCTGTCCAGATCCCTTTGTAGTTCTGCCTGGTCTTCGATCGAGTGAATTCTTCTCATCAACTTCACGTCATCTGCAAACAGGGACACTTCAGAGTCTATTCCTTCCGTCATGTCGTTCACAAATACCAGAAACAGCACTGGTCCTAGGACTGACCCCTGCGGGACCCCGCTGGTCACAGGTGCCCACTCTGACACCTCGCCACGTACCATGACTCGCTGCTGTCTTCCTGACAAGTATTCCCTGATCCATTGTAGTGCCTTCCCTGTTATCCCTGCTTGGTCCTCCAGTTTTTGCACCAATCTCTTGTGTGGAACTGTGTCAAACGCCTTCTTGCAGTCCAAGAAAATGCAATCCACCCACCCCTCTCTCTCTTGTCTTACTGCTGTCACCATGTCATAGAACTCCAGTAGGTTTGTGACACAGGATTTCCCGTCCCTGAAACCATGTTGGCTGCTGTTGATGAGATCATTCCTTTCTAGGTGTTCCACCACTCTTCTCCTGATAATCTTCTCCATGATTTTGCATACTATACATGTCAATGACACTGGTCTGTAGTTTAATGCTTCATGTCTGTCTCCTTTTTTAAAGATTGGGACTACATTTGCTGTCTTCCATGCCTCAGGCAATCTCCCTGTTTCGATAGATGTATTGAATATTGTTGTTAGGGGTACACATAGCGCCTCTGCTCCCTCTCTCAATACCCATGGGGAGATGTTATCTGGCCCCATTGCCTTTGAGGTATCTAGCTCACTCAGAAGCCTCTTCACTTCTTCCTCGGTTGTGTGCACTGTGTCCAGCACTTGGTGGTGTCCCCCACCTCTCCGTCTTTCTGGAGTCCCTTCTGTCTCCTCTGTGAACACTTCTTTGAATCTCTTGTTGAGTTCTTCACATACTTCACGGTCATTTCTTGTTGTCTCTCCTCCTTCCTTCCTTAGCCTGATTACCTGGTCCTTGACTGTTGTTTTCCTCCTGATGTGGCTGTACAACAGTTTCGGGTCAGATGTGGCTTTCGCTGCTATGTCATTTTCATATTGTCTTTGGGCCTCCCTTCTTATCTGTGCATATTCGTTTCTGGCTCTACGACTGTTCTCCTTATTCTCCTGGGTCCTTTGCCTTCTATATTTTTTCCATTCCCTAGCACACTTGGTTTTTGCCTCCCTGCACCTTTGGGTAAACCATGGGCTCACCCTGGCTTTTTCATTAATCCTGTTACCCTTGGGTACAAACCTCTCCTCAGCCTCCTTGCATTTTGTTGCTACATATTCCATCATCTCATTAACTGGCTTCCCTGCCAGTTCTCTGTCCCACTGAACCCCGTTCAGGTAGTTCCTCATTCCTGTGTAGTCCCCTTTCTTGTAGTTTGGCTTCATTCGTCCTGGCCTTCCTGCTTCTCCCTCCACTTGTAGCTCTACTGTGTATTCGAAGCTTAAAACCACATGGTCACTGGCCCCAAGGGGTCTTTCGTATGTGATGTCCTCGATATCTGCACTACTCAAGGTGAATACTAAGTCCAGCCTTGCTGGTTCATCCTCTCCTCTCTCTCTTGTAGTGTCCCTTACGTGTTGGCACATGAAGTTTTCCAGTACCACCTCCATCATCTTAGCCCTCCATGTATCTTGGCCCCCATGTGGGTCCAAGTTCTCCCAATCGATCTCCTTGTGGTTAAAGTCACCCATGATCAGGAGCTTTGCCCTGCATGCATGAGCTCTTCTGGCCACTCTAGCCAGTGTGTGTGTGTGTGTGTGTGTGTGTGTGTGTGTGTGTGTGTGTGGTGTGTGTGTGTGTGTGTGTGTGTGTGTGTCTGTGTGTCTGTGTGTCTGTGTGTCATTAACTACATTGTCATTAAATGTCAAAAAATCTGAATATTTGTTTTTTTCAGAAGACCCAGTATGCCACAGAAAATTTAATTATCAGGAACTCAGAAAAGAAAGATTTCCAAAGAATCAAGCGAAAGAAATGCTGCAGTCTTGGCAAAGACAAAACACCTTACAGAATTTTTCTCTGCTTCTGTAGTGGAAAACATAGAAGCTACTAATAAAGACCCAGTACCACTACCAGATGATGTTTCTTCTGAGGACACACCCGCATTCCCAAGTACATCTGCAGAAAATAAAAAGAACATACCAGATCAAGACAGTAAAGGTGATGAATCACCACAACCACATTCTACAGATACTTGTGTAACATGGACAGTGAAGCGCCACCATGTGATTCAGACCCAGCCATGTGGTTTCCTGTCAGAGAAAATCATGTGTCCTTTTGGTCAACTGCCACCATGTAGATAGATACCGAAAATGTGACACCAGTGATATAAATAAATACACTAGTGGTACAATAATCTCCTCTCGTGTAGATAATTAATGGGACAGGAATCTTCCCTCATGTGGATTACTAATGGTACAATAATCTCCCCCTCATGTAGAGTACTAGTGGTACAATAATCTCCCCTCACGTAGAGTACTAGTGGTACAATAATCTCCCCTCACGTAGAGTACTAGTGGTACAGTAATCTCCCCTCATGTAGAGTACTAGTGTACAATAATCTCCCTCTGCGTGCGGCCAATAGTAACAGCCTAGTTGATCAGGCCCTGATCCACCATGAGGCCTGGTCACAGATCGGGCAGCAGGGGCGTTGACACCCGAAACCCTCTCCATGTATACTCATTCATTCATTCATTCATTTATGATTTGCCGGTACTTCCGGCCCGGGTCTTCTCCAGATGGTGACCCGGCGGTGGCCCCTAGGCTGGGGATGTTGTTCGTCTTCTTCTTTCTTCTTTCTTGGGCTCTCCAGTTGGAGGGTAACTTCTTCTTCTATCTTGCGTTGACTCCCCGAGAGGGAAGTGTCTTCATGCTTGGCATCTTCAGTAGCACAGTCGGGCAGAGGCAGAAAACAGGGTTCATTGGAGCCACACCCCAGCTTTAGCAGTCAGCAAAGTGCTGGGGAAACTTGTCTTCATTGTGAGTGGTCATTGATTGTCTCTAGAGGAGGGTACCGTCTTTACGAGACTCATTCTGAAGATTCTTGAATTTCTTCTTTGAGGTGTGGTCAATTCCCACAAGGCGTAGGGAGGGCCTGAGGCGACTGACCACTTCTTCAGTGCTGAGTGCCTTAGCTGTGTCGAGGGTGTACTTGACTGTTCCCTCCTGGAGGTGATGAACAAGTTCTGAAGATTGCATTTCGTCCTTATTCTGGTTGGTTGTGTAGAAGTATACACCATTCATGACTTGGGAGTGTAGTTGTGGTGGAGCAGCAGCAGTAGCACGGGGAGATGTATCCCTAGGTTCTTGTGTTTTAGCTTTCTTGGCTGGCGGTTGAGCTGGTCGAGGAGAGGCTTCTGATTAGTCAGTTGCGGTGGAAGTGGAAGCTGGCGGTGGTGGACTCTCATTGGTGGGATTTGCCGACGTCTCAGTGGCCTCTGATTGGTCCTTCTCTGTGTCGAGTGGATGTTGTGGTAGCGGTGGAGCAGCAGTTATGTTGGTGATATTTGCAGTGGTTTTTATGATCTCAGTGGACGGTGGGGATGCAGGGAATGTAAACCCAGGCATATTATTGGGTTTTAAAAGTTCGTTGATGGTGGTATTGAAGGAGCCAAGTTCAGCTATGTTCTGGATATGAGCATACATGATGCAGTAAAGAATCTTGGTGGAGTCGCCAGCAGGAGGTGGCGGGGAAGTGGTGGAGGCAGCTTGAGTGGCCTGTAGGATCTTGGTAGTGTCTGCTTGAAGCTTGGTGATAGCCGCATATGTGGTTGCTTGTGGGTTGGGTTTCTTTTGTTGTTGAAGTTGTTTCTTGAGTATATCTCTTCTGATTGGGCACTTGGCAGCAAGAGTATGGTGGTCATTTTTGCAGTTCAAGCATTTTGGTGGTGAAGCAGTAGTGCACATCTTGAAGTCATGACCCTCAAGGCCACAGGTGGAGCAGAACTTCTTGTTTTTGGCAGGGCAGCCTTTGGTGGTATGCAGGTATGAGTAACAGTTATAGCACTATGGGATTTGTTGGAATTTTTCTGCTTCAATGAAGGCTGGATTGATATGAAAGTAGTGAATAGCCAGGCCCTCAACGAGAGCTTTGGCTGCCATGTTGACGTCACTGAAGGTGACCTTCAACATGGAGGAGGCGTTGGGTATCTTGGTAAGAAATTCCACCTTGGCCCAGGGATTCTGAGCTTCGATGGACCGCTTGATCTCTTCAGTAGCCTGTGCAGTGATGAGTCTGTTCCTCAAGAGACTTTCTTGAGGAACACAGTTCTCCTGCCCCTCAGAGCTGAGGAAGTCAGGACAAAGAATCCCTGATCTCGTAGAGTGGTTGTAGCAGTAGTGGTAAGTAGTTTCTCGGCCTCGGTGTCGTCAGTACAGACGACAACGAAGGCTTCTTTGAGCGATAGGATCACATTACACTTGACTTGCAGTCTGCCACTAACGACAGCTGCAAGTGCTAGTTTGGACGAGTCATTGACTGTCCCACTCGCTGGTTTGATCTTTATCCTGTTAGAGTAATGCATCGTGAAGTGATGCAGACTAAAGGTTTCCCTCCCCAACGGGGATCGAAGGGAGACTCTTCTGATCTTCTCTTTTTCCAGGTATATTCTCGTGTAGATCTAGTACTAGTGGTACAATAGTAGTGGAGTTGAGCACCTCTGGTGGTGAGAGCGGCAGCCTTGAGAGGTTCCTTGAAGGTGGTGGTGAAGGTCTCTTGATCCAAGGAATGTGATCTATGCCACCTGGAGTCACCTTATCCTCCCAGGTGGTCCATGACCCCCACGGGTTGAGCGCTCCACCGTGAGTAGTACGGATAGTGATGTTGTAGTAGTTAGTTTAATGTGTTTATTATGCACCCCATACCCATCCAGTGGGCGGTAGTCAAAAGATTACAGAGGTACATAATGGGTCCAGGGACTGGGCCTCAAAGTTTTGATAGCTGAGCAAGTTACAGAGGTAATGAATTCACAATTTACAAAGGTAATGAACTCACAATTTACAAAGGTAATGAACTCCAGGTAGGTCTAGTCACAATCATGACAAGTTACAAAGGTATTTACAGATTACAGAGGTACACAATGTGTTGTAGTAGTGCCATCTAGTAGTGGTAGTCAGAGTTAGTCAGGTTATCAGTGATGGTGTTATAGTGAAGGTCAGGACAGTGACCAACCTCAGGGTCACTAAAGATCAGTTAACCGTCAATAGTCGTAGAGAAGAGTCGTGCTGCTGCTCCTCCTGCCACCCCCCGCCAGCTTTATCGCTTCCTCATCTTTTTAATACACCTAAATAACGTAAGTATCGTCTGGTGACGTATTTGTCAGTACAACAGCAGAGTTCAACTGTAGCTCCTGGTCCCCACCACCAGTTTGGTTGCCAATTTATTAATATTTTAAGTCTTAATTTAATTTTCTTTGGGGTCTAATATTTAGAGGGGGCGGGGGTGATTGACCTTAGTGGAGGGGTTTTGATGCGAGGAACTGGAGCTACTCCCCTTCCTCTGATCATTATTATTATTATAATCAAGGGGGAAGCGCTAAACCCGGAGGATTATACAGCGCCTGGGGGGGGGATATGTGGAAGGCATTCAGGCTTAATTCGGGGAACTGGAGCACAGATCCAATTCCCTAAATCAAGAGCCCCTCACCAACATCAAGGAACCTTCCTTGAGGGGTTCCTCTGATCAAAGAATAACTCCCACACTAGGCGTTACGTAACTCATAATTGTGTATCCAGTTCTGCGCTATTATTTTCCATTATTGACAAATAACTTAGTGAAGGTCTCTTGATCCAAGGAACTTGCTCCTCGTGATACAGATATAGACTTCATGTAAATAAATTGTTAGTCATTAGGTTTGTGAAAGAAATATTTATTAAAGAAAAAGATTGCTTTATTATGTTAAACGTTAATGGGTATATTAGTCGGGCAGTAATGTTACTAGTTTATATTATATGGTAATGTTTCCCTATAAATGTGTAATGTTCATGGTTATAATGTGAATGTGTTTTGTTTCAGGTGTGGTAACTGAGGATTGCTGTACCTGGCTGTGTCTACTGCAACATTGATCAACACGGCAACTTTGATCAGTCTGAGGGGTGGAGACAACCATACTAGTAAATGGTCTGACCCATAACATTTAGTGTTATATGGAGATGCATTAGTTTAATATGTTTATTATGCACCCCATACCCATCCTGTGGGCGGTAGTCAAAAGATTACAGAGGTACATAATGGGTCCAGGGACTGGGCCTCAAAGTTTTGATAGCTGAGCAAGTTACAGAGGCAATGAATTCACAATTTACAAAGGTAATGAACTCACAATTTACAAAGGTAATGAACTCCAGGTAGGTCTAGTCACAATCATTACAAGTTACAAAGGTATTTACAGATTACAGAGGTACACAATGGGTCCAGGGACCGGGCTCCAAAGTTTTGATGGCTGAACTAGGTACAAGGTAATGAACTCACAAGTTACAAAGGTAATGAACTCACAAGTTACAAAGGTAATGAATACTGTAAGAATGGTTTACTTACGTTTATACATGGCTGCAATCATGAACAAATTTTAGAGTAATGAGCAATTCACACTTCCACACCCGGTCACAACTGTAGTGAGTTATTGGTGCAAATGTTGATTGCTGAGTCTCTCTCTCTCTCACACACACACACACACAACACACACACACACACATACAAATTCATACACACACACACACAATAAACAACACACACACACACACACACACAAACTCATACACACACGCACACACACTCATACACACACTCACACTCATACACACACACACTCATACTCATACTCACACACACACACACACACACACACACACACACACACACACACACACTCACACACCACACACACACACACCACACACACATGCACACATGTGGTAATGCTTTATTTACAGCTAGCAAAGTCAGGGTATTTCTCCAGAATGGTCTGTAATATACCACTGTGGATAAAATACTTAGCCATTTCTTGAACACTTCTGAGTGAGTTGTTTCTAAATTCATTAATTTTATCGCACTCCAGTACATAATGACGCAGGGTGTGACAAAATCCATCTGGCAAAGTTTACATTTCGTTTGGTCTACATCTGGTGGTGGTGATTTAACCTGCCAAAGATACTTGTAACCCAGCCGGAGCCGGGCGGTAGTGACATCCAAGAGTCTGCTTATTTTGTTGGATGCACCATAGACATGTGGGCTCCTCCTGCATGATAGAATGATGATAGATGGACTCACTGGTGTCAATCTCCCTGAGCCTTAAGTCCATAAAATTCAGCTGAAGTTCTTTTCGTATTATTGTTCTCAAACTACTACCTGACAAGCCAAGATTGTAATCTACTCCCTCTTTGAAAGCATACAGCTTAGCCAATTTATCAGTTCTATCATGCATCTGAAGACCAATGTGAGATGGAATCCACAGCATGTGCACTCTGACTCCACTGTCCACAATCCTACCATACCTGTGTCTGGCTTCTGACACAAGCATGCCACAATTTATGCTTAATGAGTTGAGAGCATTTATGGATGACAGAGAATCAGTTACAATTAAACTGTCAATCTTTGATACATAGATGCATTTCAGTGCAAGGAGTATGGCAAACAGTTCTGTCTGAAGGGTAGAGGCCCAATTATGATTGCGTGCTCCAATTTCTTTAAGAGAGCCATCACTCTGTACGACAACAGCAGCACTACCAGCTGCACCAGTGGATTGGTGAACAGAACCATCAACGTAAATAATTTGCGAGAGTGTGTGTGCTGTGTGACTAAGTTATCAATACAGCTTAAGGCCTCATGTTTGGCTTCAAGGCGAAGTTTTGGTTGTGATTTAAGAAGTAGTTTGGGGGGAAATGGAGGAATGGTAGTTTGGAATGGGGTAATATTCCATGGAGCGGAGAAGTGCCGCTGTTTGCCTTACTTGACAAGATCATGTATCTGATTCATGCGGAGGTCGGTTCCAGTCTTTTCGATCCATCTGGAGGAGTGTTCACCAGTGCTGAGGAAAGTTTGGAGGGCTTCTGTGCAGGGGTTTGAATGAGCTTGCCTGAGCATATTAACCCCAATTAGGATATTTCTTTCAGTAACACGATCTCTGATGCTTGGAATATCAAGTTCTTTTTGCATATTTAAAATTTTGGCAGTACGAGGGCATCCTAGGATGATCCTCATTGCTTCGTTCTGCAGTTTTTTCCAGCCCTCCAAGCTTCCAGTCAGACACAAGAGCAAGTAGTGGCGCAGCATAATCAACCAATGATCTAATATAAGCAAGATACATCATTTTCACAATTTTAACATTAGCACCATACCTGGGTGAAGCCCTGCCACAACTCTAAGTGCTCTTAGTCGTTCTTTGTATGGCGACAAAGTCTTGTTACAACAGGTCCAAGTAGTGGAACCTCAAAGCCTAGATACCTGTATCTGCTTACATATTCTAGAAGAGACCCATCATGCAATTGGATCTGACGAACTGTGCCTCTCTGTCGAGGAGGACGCCTATTGAGTATCTTTGTTTTATCAGTAGAGATTATCAACCCCAGGTCCTGACACGAGGCTAGTACATGATTAAGAATGTTTTGGGTGTTGGAGAATCGGTGGTGTGAATCATTATATCATCAGCAAAACTAATCACATAATTATGGGGCTGACTAGGCATAAGCATTAAGTAATGCATTAATTAGAATATTGAACAGTGTGGGACTGAGCACACCTCCCTGTGGGGTTCCTAATTCAAAGTCTTTAGTTACACTTCTATGTCCCTGGAACAACACAGACGATTTTCTGTTGGACAGGTAGCCTTTAATCCAGCGGAGAAGCCATCCTCCAACATCCATTCTGGCAAGTTCACTAATTATTACATGTCGGTTGGCTACATCGAAAGCGGATTTAAGGTCAAGGAAGGTAGTGTAGGAACTGTCAGTGTGCAGGGTGAGAAAGGGCTATGCAATGATGCACGCTCCTTCCATGCATGAAACCATGTAACCGGGGAGACAAAAATTGTTTGATTTGTAACATGAGACGATTAAGAATCATTCTCTCAAATGTTTTTACACAAGCAGCTAGTAAGAGATATTGGGCGAAATGCATTTTGTTGATTGGGCTTAGGAATTGGAATGATGAGGCTGTTGGTCCAAGATTGAGGGAGCTCCCCAGTTACATAGCTCATGTTATATAATTCAAGTAATGGATTACCTGGTACTCGACACAGCAATCTGAGTATGTTGTAAGTAATACCATCCTCACCAGGCGGACGTGAGTTGCCCTTAGTTAGCGCTGCATCAAGTTCTAATTAGTGAAAGGAATGTTGCAATCATCTGCCTTACTGAGCATAAAGCAAACAAGTCTCTCCCTTGCATCATATTTATCATTTAATTTTGCCTGTGTGGTACTGGGAAGATTGTCATAGCTAGATGTAGCAGCCCAAGCACTGACTAACTCATTCGCCCTATGCAAGGGATGAGGGTGCGCGATCTGCCCAGTTCGTTTACCCTTAATTCTATTTATGTCCCTCCATGCCCGGCTAAGTGGGGTGTGAGCATTAAGACCGTTGACAAATTTTTCCCAGTCGGTTTGCCGCAGCTCTGTCATACGCTCTCTGGCAGCAGCAAGGGCAGTTTGGAAGAGCCTCAGCATTCCAGGGGTACGATGTTTCTATAGGCTAGGCCTAGTCTGCGAGCAGTACGTTTCAGTGTACGAGTTTAGAATCATTGTAATAAGTATGGTTTTTGAAGGAGGTATGATTATTACGGAAGTTTGTTGGGTTTAGAGTACCAAGAGGTTGCAGTGGCGGCTCTAAGTAGTTCTGAATACTGCTCACAAGATCATTGTTAAAGGTCTCTACAGAGGAACACTCATAGGAATTATACCAGTCAGTCACATGTGCAACAAAGTCATCATGCTGATCTGTGGGAACATTAAAACGTTTCCGTTTGAATATCCCACCAGGAAGGATAGTATTACCAATATCTAGAGAGGTTAGCCTAGGGAAATGATCAGACGCTATATCTGTTACAATGGAAGACTCACAACTGGCAGAAGTAATGTTGAAGCCCAGGCACAGATCAAGGACGCCTCCATAGATATGTGTGGGTTCAAGGTCACCTACAATTTGGACATTATCGTGACTGTTTAAGAGTGACAACAGTTGATTGCCATTACGATTACCAAACTGTGAGTTTCCAATGCTTTTGTGTCTCGCATTGTAATCGCCAATAATAAGAGTAGGCTGGAGATGCAGCAGTTTGAGACGGAGACGTTGAAGTGGGCAGGGCCCACTTGTAAGGTATTTCCAGGTTATAAGTCCACTAAAGTTTGGTTATTGAAGCAGATAGTAATTGTATTAGGTGGGAAGGTGGTGGGGAGAGTATAGGGAAGATTGTAAGCAATTGATATCAAAAGTAGCTTAGTGGGAAGTATTAGCTTATCTCACGACCGGAGATGTAATCTCTGGCCAGGAAATAATGAGGAATGTATTCTATAGGTTACCTTGAATGTGGTGGAAATAAAATTGGAGAAATAAGTTGTAAAGCCTAGAATTGAAAACAGATTAGATTTTAGGAAGTTTTAGTTAGTGCAATAACTATGTAGTCTTTACCCATCCTGCAACATTGTAGAAAACAAATATGAAATGTGTAAGTGATATATCATGGCTCAGTTGGTAGTGGCATAACTGAAGAGCCGAGATTCGATCCCGGGCACAAGTGGGCATGTTCCCTTGTATCCATTGGCACTGTTCACATAAAGGAGGAACACTGCAGCAGGCCTACTGGTAGAGGTCGCATCCTGGGGGAGTATAATTACCCTAATAAAAATGTCATAATGTCATCCTGACTTGATTGTGCAATTCTGTATTAATCTACCGGGTTAATAATTATACTGAGAGAGTTTAGTGTGGTGAGGGTAATGGCAGAGGTCTTGATGCCGGGTGTAAGGACAGTCTATTAAATCAGGCATATCCATTATGAAGCCATAAGAAAAGAACACTGAAGCAGGCCTATTGGCCCTTGTTAGGCAGGTTCAACTCTCAACCACTTATTTGTTTAACCTGTTTTTAAAACTACACAGCCAACGTTTTAGCTTCACATGACGGGATAAATTTTCCTTAGGCAGGATATATTACAGCCGGAAAAATCAATAAGTTACTCAGAAATGTGGAATTAAGCACATATTCCTATTTTTAGAAGTGTTGTAGAGGACCTGGCCAAGTAATTTTATGCTTTGAAGTCCCAAAAATATTTACAATAGTATAGCCATTGTGGGTTTAGCGCTTACGACTCCAGACTGTATTAGAGCGTCTTGGGGGGGGGAGGGAGGCATTTGTTTTGAAGTTGGGTTATACAGTATATATTTACAAACTTTGTAGACCCCCTTGATCTTGCCTAGACCCCCTTGATCTTACCTATACCCCCCTTGATCTTACCTATACCCCCCTTGATCTTACCTAGGCACCTCTTGATCTTACCTAGGCCCCCTTGATCTTACCTAGGCCCCCTTGATCTTACCTAGGCCCCCTTGATCTTACCTAGACCCCCCTTGATTTTACCTAGACCCACCTTGATCTTATCTAGACCCCCTTGATCTTCCCTAGACTCCCTTGATCTTACCTAGACCCTCCTTGATATCAACTAGAACCCCTTGATCGTACCTTTACCTCCCTTCATCCCCCCTTGTGCAGCCAATGCTCTACAAATTAGTAAGGCCTATACCTGGAGTATGCTGCATAGTTGTGGTGTGTATATATATAACACTTTGTAAGTCTACAATTATTTAGTGCCTATCAAAATAACTTATAGAATTAGGTGGTGCTAATTAGGATAGGTAAGGTATAGAACTGGAGAATCTGCTATATGCATTATGAATGCATATAGCAGGGGAGAGTAATCTCCCCTGAAGGCATAGATTACGTAGAACTGTGGGCCTTGGAACCCACCAACGACCTTCAGAGGCTGTGTGGGATCTGTTATTTCACGTGGTTTCTGTGGGGATGTTGGTGGGTTTCGGGCTTTGGGTAGTGGTTGTGGTGGGTGTTCTACGTATTTTATGTCTTTGGCAAGTCTAATGTTTCGTTGTTTACTAAGTTCACAAAACTGACGCTTGGGGAGGAAACTTTAGGCGTTTCGGTAAAACGTGGGTTTTGAGACTATTTTCGACTGCACTTGGCTTTGGTTTTGGTATCTTTTTTTCTGGACCAGATTTCTCCAACTTTTATTATGTTTTCACATTATAAATGGTGTACAACACCAGGTTGGTAAGAGACATTATTCATGAAATATTTCGCTTGGGGAGTAGACTTTATCTGTCGACTACAGAGATGACAGCAGTCTTGGAGACTAAATTGGAGAGTTAATTTTGAGCTCTACCCTTCAACCTTGATAAAAGATAGCCAGTCTCTTAGCCAGACTTTTTATTTACTTCTAATTTCTTGCCGAGCATTGGCCAACGGGAATATTGGAGTTTCTTTTCATGTCTATTGTAAGCTCCTGTTGAACTATATTATTGAAGGTTAACTTGTCGCAATTTCCCCACTGTTTTTTGTAATGACACAATTTCATCTACGATATTGTTACTATTACTACTATCAGTGTTACTACTACCTCTACTACTACCAGCACTTCTGCTATTACTATTACTACCACCATTGGTATTGCCGCAAATCTTACCAGTGCTACCTATACGTCCTTTGTAATTTCACCCTTCCACCTTCCTCCATGGTTTTTGCGACCTGTCTTGTGATCTATTATACTTTTTGACCCTTGGTCTGACTTGATACTCATCCAAGAGAAACCAAAAGATCGTCTCAAAGTGCTTCTCCACTGTTGGTTTCCATAAGTGTATTATAAGTAGTATTATATGTTTAGATAGGTTAAGAATAGAACTGGAGAATCTGCTATATGCATTATGAATGCATATAGCAGGGGAGAGTAATCTCCCCTGAAGGCATAGATTACGTAGAACTGTGGGCCTTGGAACCCACCAACGACCTTCAGAGGCTGTGTGGGATCTGTTATTTCACGTGGTTTCTGTGGGGATGTTGGTGGGTTTCGGGCTTTGGGTAGTGGTTGTGGTGGGTGTTCTACGTATTTTATGCCTTTGGCCAAACTGTGCAAAGTTAAATATTGATTCATTGAGTTTACACAATTTCATTATTTTGGAAAATTTAAGAGGCATTCAGGTTTTTATGAATATAAAAGTATTAGTGTTCAGAATTGCAGTTGGTTTGATAGTTTGTAAGTAGTGAAGTCTAACGCTTCTGGCAGCAGACGTTATTGATGAAAATAATGAAATCCTCTGTGATCTGAAGTGTTAGTGAATCCTTACTGCTAACATCTGATGAATATAGTTAGAGGGGTGATTTAGATTTATATTAGTGGGTTTCTAACCCTGCTGGGTTAGAAACCCAGAAAAATAGGTAGAAAGTGGGAGAAGGGGGGGGGAGCTTGATGTAATGGTCCTCAGGTTGTACCTAAGATGCCAGCCATAAGTGGCAGGTAAGGTAGGTTATGAATTCAGGCTAGCATAGTAGTGTGTTAGGAAACTGGTATACGGCAGGCCTCCAACTGGTTAGATTACCCATAGTGTTGATTGTTAGTCTAGTGTGCTGAGGGACGTGGAAGTTCAAATATTTAAACTGGAAAAAAAAAATTGTGAAGTCAACTTGCACTACTCTCCTCTGAATCAAACCTGAGGAGAGTAGTGCAAGTTGACTTCACAAATTTTTTTTCCAGTTACTCAAATGTTTAAGGGATATTAGGAGTAGGTTGGGCTGGGTTGTAATGTGTCACTAAGTTTACCCTCCAACTTGTTTAATTGCCACAGAATCCTCCTGACAAACAACACTGGAGACAGGCTATTATGATCACCTCTTGTGTTAGTCCTCGGTTGTGCACGCTGAAGTGTTTGGGCAGTGGACAGTCATGCACAACACTATTTTCACTGCAGTGTCGCAACACTTACTTGGAGAGAGTTCCGGGGGTCATCGCCCCCGCGGCCCGGTCTGTGACCAGGCCTCCTGGTGGATCAGAGCCTGATCAACCAGGCTTAGCATAGCTTCCTGACAAGGTAATGAAATTTAAAAATGTATCATACCTCAAACTACTACTAATGGTAGTATTGAGGCTATTCGCCTCATTACTACCACTGTTAGTAGGGTTGGGGTAGGTATATATTTTTTTTTTTTCCCCCCGAGCTTCAAGCTCCCAAATTTGGTGTGAATGTTGCGTTCCGGGCCTGCAAAAAAAAAAAATTTTGGGTGTCTCGGCTATTTCCTTTTTCTATTTTTTGTGTTCATTGTGTTTTGTTCATTGTGTTTTTCCTTGAACATTGCTGGGGAAAAGGAAAAGACTTTTTATTTATTAAAATTTTTTTTTAAAACTAAATTTTTATGGGAATTATTGTAGGTTAAAGATTTTTCCCCTGTTGGGGGCCCAGCCCCCTGTGTGGTGAAGCCCATTTTGGGGGCCCAGCCTGTGTGGTAAAGGTCCATGTTGTGGGCAGTTTGCTGTGTGGGAAGCCCATTTTTGGGGGGCAGCCGCGTGTGGTGAAGTCCATGTTGGGGGCAGCCGCTGTGTGGTGAAGTCCATGTTGTGGGCGCCGTGTTGTGGTGGTCCATGTTTGGGAAAGCCGTTTGTGGGTGAAGCCCAAAAGTTGTGGGCACCCGGGCCTGTGGGGGTGAAGTCCATTTTTGGGGGGCCACCCCGCTGTGTGGGGGAAAGCCCAAATGTTGTGGGCGCTGCTGTGGGGTTTGGAAGTCCATGTTGGGGGCCCAACCCGCTGTGGGGGTTGAAGTCCATGTTGTGGGCAGCCCCCCCCTGTGTGGTGAAGCCAGGTTGTGGGCAGCTGCAAGTCTTCAGGGATACCCCCCCGCAAAAACCCCCCAAAAACAATGTCTGCAAAGATAAAAGTTGGGTTTATTGTTATTTGAAGTTCATAAATTTATTAGAAATTTGAATTTTAACTATGTATTTAGAATGTTTCCCTTAAATATTATGAAAAGAAAATTGCAAACTTTTTTTTCAAAACTGATCTTTAAAAAATTTAAACCTGAAATTGGAGAAAATTTAAAAATCATTTTTTTTTTAAAATTTACCACAAATTGAGGGAAATTTGGGAAAAAGGTGTTGGTGTGGTGGATGGCAGAGGAAATGATTTTGTGGCGCCATTATTTTTTGGGCCCTCCAGGCAAAATGGCCCCCCGGGCCTGGGGGGGGGGGGGTTTGACGTCTTTTGGGTTTTTGGGAGGGGGGAAAGGTTTTTGGGGAAAGGGGTTTGGGGGGGTTGTGTTTGGTGGAGGGATTGGGAGGGTGAGTAGTTATTTGTTACTGGTTTGGAGGGTGAGGGAAAGGGGGGGGGGGGTAGGGGGGATGGTTTTTTTTTTGGAAACCCAAAGGGATAATCCCGTTTGTTACTGTGTGTTAACGGGGCCTTAACCTTGATATTTGAAATGCCCGAAAACCTAGAAAAAAAACCCATTATTTACCCATTTCTTTAATTCAAAAGAACTTTGTCCAGGGGACTTGTGTTGAAACCTTTTCCCCTTGATTTTGGGGCTTACTTTATTTGACATCTCTTGTGGGTTTGGGTGCTTAGTCTTGATCGGGGCCCCTGATATTAAAACCTTTGAGGGCCCGGGGCATTTTAGGTTGGGGGGGGGGGCCCCCCAAAAGGGGAAATTAAAACTAAATTTAAAAATAAGAAATAAACTAAAAGGGTTTATGATAAAACACCCTTTTTTCGAAAAAAAAAATATTCGGTTTCGAAGAAAAAACGTCTGATTTTTTTTTTTCTCAATTTTGCTAAAATTTTAATGACAAATAATTTTTGTTTGTAATATTTTTCCTACTAATTTATTTAATTCCCGGGGTTTTTTTTTCCCTTAGGTGCCCAATTTTTCGGTATCCTATTTTATATGGGGGCAGTTGACAAAGGTTACAACCCTTTTCTTGACAGGAAACCCCCTTGGCTGGGTTAAATTAAATTTGGGGGTTTAAGCTCATTGCCCCAATTTTTACAAAAGGTTTTCTGAGAATGGGGTTTGTGGTGTTTCACCCACCTTTACGGGTCTTGATCGGGGAGGGTTTTTTTTTATTTTTTTTGCAGTTTGTATTTGGGAATGGGGGTGTGCCCTTTCAAAAAGAAACTTCATTGGAAAGTGGTACGGGGGTCTTTATTAGTAGTTCATTTTTTCCCATACAGAAGCAGAAAAAAATTTTTTGTAAGGTTTTTTTTCTTTCCCAAAGACTTGCGCTTTTCTTTCCCCGGATTTTTTGGAAACCTTTTCGGGTTTTTTGAAAATTAAATTTTCCGTGCATAGGGGTCTTTGAAAAAAATTTCTTTTTCCCAAAGGGTGTTCCCTTTGTTGTGGTGAAAAAAGGCTTTTACGTCCGGGAAATTGGACCTTTTGATCTTCTTTCGCCCGAACAGTAATTAGCCTTGGGGTTCCCCTTGGGCATTACGGTTTCTAAATTTAAAAAATTTGAATTAATTTGTTGTGTGGACTTTCGGGAAAATAAAAAGGGGTTTGCCCCCCAACCCCCCTCCCTTTGAAAAACTTGATTTGGGCCTATTTCGGGTTAGAACATAAGAAAGGAGGAAAAATGCAGCAGGTCTTTTGGCCATTTTTAGGCAGGCCCCTTCACAATCCACCCCACTAACAAAAATTTCCCCAAACCCAATTTTCAATCCCACCCAAAAAAATAAGCTCTGAAAAATGTCCACTCAAATGAAAAACCCCCACTAAAATCCAAACCTCTTTTTCTTGTTTTTCCCCAAAGGTTTTAGCCTCAAAAACCCAATGGGTAGACGTTCCACTCTTTTCGGGGGTACCCCCTTTTTTAAGGGGGGGCCCCTTTGTTCCCAGTAAAAAGGGGGCTTTGGTCTGGGGCATTGGACCTTTTTTTCTTTCTTCCTGAGACAAAACCAAATTTAAACCCCCCAAAACCCCCCCTTTCCCTGTTCCCATCCTCCCCCCCCCCTTTCCCAACCCCCCCTTTCCCTGCCCCATTTGTAGCCTTGGGGGTCCTTCCCTCTGGCATTACGGTTTCTAGGTAGGAGAAAGTGTGCTGGGTTACCCCACCCCCAGGGGGGTCCCTCGGGGGGTGGTTTTGGTTTTGCCTTTGGAAATTCTGAATTGTCTAAAGGGTCCCCTGTTTCCCTTTCCCCGAATTTCCGAGAAGGGGGCCCGGAGTCCCCCCAAGAAAAAGGGGTGTATCTCAGGCTGACTGGGGGGTTTTGGGAGGTGGCAGCCAAAGGGAGTTATGCTTTGTGGCGGGGTTTTTTAAAAACCCCCCTTTTTTTTGTCCCGAGAAGGGCTGGGTTTAGTGTGAGGATGCTACCTGGAGAAATGGTTTTGGGCTTTAAAGGGTGGGGTTTTTTTAGCATGGTTTCCCAAACCCTGAAATTTTCACTCCCTGTGGCTCGGGGGCCCCCTTGGAAATGGGGGGGGAGCTTCCAGCCCTCCCTTTTGCCTCCCTAGTAACTGCCCCTCCGCTGTCCCTCTTTTTTTTATTTCCTTTCATTTTTTTTTTTTAAAATAAAAAAAAAGGGATATCACTGATAAAAGCACCCTTTATTGGGGAGTCTTCCCCTTTCCTCCCAGGCCCCTTTTGACCCACCCCCCTTCCCCGACTGGGCCCCTTGTTTTTTGGTTTCCATTCTCTTGATTTTCTCAAAAACCCCTGTCCTTCTGCCGGGGGTTTTCCCTTCTTTTCACCTCCCTTCAGTTTGTGCGGCGTAACCAGTTTCTGTTATGCTGCTACTTTATTTCGCCTTTCAAAAAGCGTCTGGCTTTTCCAAAATTTACGGTGAAATGGTTTTCATATGGTCCACCCCCCTCAGGTAAAGTCCGCCTGGGGTTATCTACTGAAGGGCCCAAGACAACCTACTGAGGGACTTTCATCGTTTGATAGCTCAGAAAAAACCCTTACGCAAACTCACTCCCTTTTGGCATCCCAGGTTAGCGATACACAATGGACAAAAATTCTTTTTTTTAAAAAAAACATCCAAACTGATTTCTGTTTTGATAAATTGGAAATTTGGGGAAAAACTCTCTTTTAAACCCACTTTTCCCAAAAAATAACCCTTCCCAACGCTTTTTTAAAGCGGGGTGCGGGGGTCAAAAACAATACAAAATTTGAAAAGCAAGCTCACTTTTTTATTCCATAGATAAAATACCATTTCCCCGTTGGAAAGCATGCTACTCTTAATTTTTCCCAGTTGGTATTTGGGGGCCCTTACCACATCCCCATTGTACAAAGTGATTTTTTTTGTTTGCAGCGAGATATTTAAAAAACAATTAGCCCTTCAAAATTCCCTTTTTTAAAAGGGATAATAACATCCTGCATGCTATTGGTGGAGGGTTTTCCCGGGATTTTCCCTGGGGGGAAAAGTTTCGGGGGTAAAACCGCCCCCGGGGCCCCCGGTCTGGGGCCCAGGCCCCCTGGTGGATCAGCGCCTGATCAACCGGGCGGGTTGCTGCGGGGCCGCACGAAACCAGTCCGAGCCCCCGGGCCCGGGATCAGGAAGGGCCTTTGGGTGTTTGGTCCAGTCCCAAGCTTAAAGATTTCCCAGGGGTCTGTTGGTAACCCCCCTTATGTGTGCGGGGAGGCAGTTAAACAGTCTCGGTCCCTGCATTTAAAATTGTATGGTCTTTTAAACGGGCTAGGGGACACCTCTTTTTAATTGGGGGGATGGGCTGCATTTTCTGCCAAGTCTTTTGCTTTCGAAAGTGAGTGATTTTCGTTTTTGAAAGTTGGGTTCCCTAGCCCCTTTCTGGGAAATTTTCCCAGGTGTTTAAAATAAAGTATCTTCCCTCCTGCTTTCCCGGGGGGAATACAGGTTTAGAAAACCTCAAGCGCTCCCAGAAATTGGGGTTTGTTTTATCCCCCGTTATGCGGGGCCTTTAAAAGGGTTCTCTGAAAATTTTTTCCTAGGTCGGCCCAAATTTTACCTGCCCTTTTAAAGGTTTTGTTAGAGTGCAGCAATATCCAGCCTAGATAGAACAAGTGACCTGAAAAAGTGTAATTTTATGGGGGTTTGGGCCTTTCCAAGTTTTTTAAAG